GTTCTAAGATGCCAAATAAAGGTAGGACTCCAAGTGAACGAGAATTCAAGGAAGAAGAAGTATGCTTTATTAATCCTGCTAGCACAAGGAAGAGAGTGTGTTATATGGTTCAAAGGAATAAGGAAAGGTAAAACAAAAGAACCTGGAAGCAATAAGAGACAAAGAAAAATTTCAAAAAAATCCCAAACCCAGAACAGAACCTAAAACGCTGGATTAACTTGAGCAATGTTTTTGAGGGGATTTTGATCTCTAAAAATTTTGAATTTGTTTTTGGATTCTAATCAGTGGGTGTAGTTGTGACCTGGAAATTTTCAACATGAAATTCCATCTGGAAAATTATAGAAAAATGAAACAATATGGACAATATGAATATATCGAACAAATATAGGATCAACCTAAGCAATGCTTGATCTAAAAAATTTTAGTGAAAAAATCGTTCTATAGAATTCTCTGAAAATTCGCCAAAAACAAGTCCAGAATATGCTGACCAATCATAGGATCAATTTGTACCTCATTTGTGAGGGGTTTTCGATTTTCAAAAATTCTGAAACGTTTTTTGGATATCTTCCACTGAATATGTTTATAATCTGGAAAATTTCATTCGTAAATTATTTCTTAAAAATTCTATGAAAACTTGTCAAGAACCAATGCTTAATTTTGCTGAACAATACTAAATTATGGATCAGAGGGGTCTATTGATATCCAATTGATCTAGATTTTGGACTGAAGATTAATCTTAGTACAGTAAAGCTGTAAAAATGAGCCCCAATTTCATTCGTTTGCAATTTATGGATTTTTTTTTCTTTCTTTCTCAATGAAAATCAGTAAACTAACAGAAAGAATTGAAACTAAACTAGAAAAAAAATAATAGAACTGAAAATGATGAAACTTTGAGAACTAACTTCGTTAGGGTACTTCAAAGATTGATTCTTGAAGAACAATTCAATTTTTTTTATTTTCCCAATAATCATCTCAAATTGGATACCAATTGATAGAGAATCGTCAACAAATAATGTGAACGTCTCTCTCGACAAGGAAACAAACCTAGGAAGGCTCTAGACTCGATGGAGAAACGAATGGCTTTGAATGGATGTTATGGAGGTGGCGGTAAGATTAGGGTTTTTGGTAGGATTTTAGTTGTTGGAAAATAGACAAAAGAGATAAGACTAGAACAAAAAAAAACAAGGGTAATAAATTTAAAGAGAATTAAAGACGTGAGAAACAAAGGTATTAATTCAAGACAAATAATAAAACATGTAATAAAAGAAATATGATATTATCTCCCCTGTAATAGGTGCCTAATGTTGTTTATGGTCTGATTTTGATGAATGGTGCTTGCTGGAAAGAGGATGAAAAGATGAGAAAGATGGTGAAGACGGATTGAAAATCAGATGGTCGGATTAAAAGAAAAATGACTTTGAAAATTTACCAAGTAGGTATAGGGAATAACACAAACTTAGGTTTTTGATGGGATTTATGTGAATGGTGAAAATATATTGATGATAATGATGGCTTAACGATCTTGATAGTTGGATATGTCCTATCAATCCCTCATAGCTGCAATGAAAAGACAAACTTGATAATACGACTCTAACCAGTCCTCTTATTCACAATTTAAAGGCTAATTGGAGTGTGAAGATCTTTCTCTCAAGAACTTGGAAGAACAAAGAAGAAGATGCTTCGAAGGCACAAGATAATCAACTCTTGCAAAAATGAACTATCATTGTATTGTATATAAAAGAAGAAAAAATGTGTTTACAATGAGATGAAGGAGCCTCCTATATAGGCCTGGAGGAGTCCTTGTAGTAACATGACTAACTAATAAAATAACAATAAACTAAAGATAATTTTTTGAAATCCCTTTTAATTCCTAATAATATAATAAAATTAATCCTAAAAGATAATATCATCTTATATTAAATTATATTACAAATAATCAATAAAAATATTCAAAATTCGTAATATTTACAAAATCACGTATAAGTATTTATGCATACACTATCTTCACTAAAATAGTCATATCTTGAGTTCCCGATATCAGATTGGGGCTATTCAAGAACCGTTGGAAAGATAAGAGACAACCCGTCTTAAATCCAGAAGAATATTGACCAAATAACATCAGGATACCATTCAAAAATCAGTCGAAAGTATGTTGCTCCGCTGTTCCTTTTTTCCAAGGCTTGGTCGTGTGGGTCAATTGGAAGTATTAGCCCATCTTCTTTGATGGGAGCCTTGTGATGTATTTATCATCCTCTCTCTCTTCAAAAGGATTCAATCTCAAATCAAATAGATATTCTTTGAATCTTTGAGGCTTTGTTCTTCTAATGGGTTCAAGTAGAAATATTAGTCCAAAGAAGCATGCATTATCATTATTATGGACTCTAGTACATGCATCATTCCCCCGCTCCTCAAAAGGTTTCATCCATGAATATGAAATTCCAAGAGAAAGAGAATTAGGTGTATAGAAAGGAAAAATTGAGAAACACTTACTTGGATTGATTTGATGTGTCATTATGCGCTTAAATAAAGGCTTCTTCCTTGTTGAAATCGTATTCTGGTTGTCTTGAATCCTTTCTAAACATTAATCTTGAAAACCAGTGTTTCACTTGAAAAATCAACATGGTGCCGACCACTATTGTCCTTGTCTATGAGAAAATCAACATAAGTTTCCTCCATGTTTTCACTCATGTGTGGTGAAAAAGAGTGTTTTAAAATAATGTCAATTGGTTTGTGAAAGTAATCCACGAAGTCTTCTAAGTACGTGTCATGAGTTGAGAATTTTAGTGACGAGCTTTGTGGACTGCAAAACCTGTTCAGTTGAAAGTAAACCCATCTACAAAATAAAACTCATTAAAAGCACTTTTAAAACAATGGGTATAAATATCATAAATTTTTGAGTCATCATGATGTATATCTTTGATATGTTCAATTCTCAGAATAACATTATGTGTGTGATAGGTAAGAATGTACCTTCGGGATAGTACATCTTCTATTACGTTTTTCTTACCTAGATCTTTTAACCACTTAAAGAATTCATGGTTACAATGGATAATGATCGCATTTAAATATATATTGTTGTGGCACGTAAACCTGTGCAAGTATACACAATCGATGCAAGTAATATAGTAGTGAGTATCATCTCCACAGGGATTGGAGGGGTTTTAAAAGATTGCTACAACTAGGAATAGGTCTCACTAACTAATCCTAGGTATCTATGTCTAATGATATAAACAAGAAAAATATGTAGTGGAAAATGATATGAACAGATGGAAAAAGTTTGACGAGACAAGAAAAATGTGAAGTGAAGTAGGCAGATAAAGTTTGTCGTGGAAAGAAAAAAAATACAATAGTAAACAAACAGAAGTTGCTAAGACTAAAATTTGTCAAATAAAATGGAAATAGACTGACAACCTCACATAATCAGACTTCTAACGGAGCACTTGGGTTGGATTTGTTATGGCGAGAAATTATTCTATGGATAGGATGATATAAGTACACTATACCTATGTTGCTCAATCAGATTAACTAAAGTGTTCCAAGTGTTTCTCTAGCACGAAACCTACCAAACTATTTCTTCGGCAATACTACTCAGTGTGAACTAAAGCCCTTGGTTTGTCAAATTGTTGCTATGACAATACCCCTCGGCGTAAACAGTAGTGTTAGCCTATCCACTTAAGCATTTATCATTCTTACTGGCATTAAATCCTCTCCTTATCTCTAAGGCGGATTAGAACCTCACCATCTCGGATTAGTTCCCTTGTTCATTTAGATCTAACCTAACTATCTCGATATTAGGTATCAACTCCTAGAAAAATGAATATCTTTCGAAATCTCTTATAAAGGACTAGGAATATTTTTTCCAAGGCACCAAACACTCTTTCGAAAGCTTATAGTGTCAAGGCAAAGATGAAAACATCGAACAAAACAACCATTAACAAAAGAATACTTAATCATTCATTAACCATAAAATAAAATATCATCCAAGCATTTCCAATACCAAATTAAATAGTTTATGGTGCGGCTAACATCATCCAAAAAATATTTATTAAGTAAAAGCCCTGAAAATATAAGAAATAAAAAACAAGAGGAAGAAAAACTCCTAGAACATAGCTCTGGTGTGACATCAGACCAGTACCATGAATGCTTTAGTGAGCTAGCCTCTCTCTAGGACCTAGCCACTGCTCCAGCGAAGCCTGGCTATGGAGGGCACCAAGGATGGATGAGAGGGGGAACGGTGGAAAAGAGGTGTTGCATCTATATTTCTCTAAGCCTTTCTTTTAGGGTATATGGTATATACTGTCTCATATGGTGGGAATCTTATCCTATTTATAGTGGGGAATTTTTAGGGTTCAGTTCCCTTGAAATTCCCCAAATTTCCCTTGAATTCATGCCTAATTCGTGAAAACAAGACAGCTAGCAACAATCCCAAATTAGCAGTAGGGGCAGGGGTTCACGTGAGGTACATTGGACTGTTGGCTATTCGACGTCAACAAATTTGTCTCATACTATGTTAGTCTTACAAGATACAACTTGCCACGGAAAAATTTATTCCTCGGTCATTTCCTATCACCTATATAATCATAACCAACACACAACCCTTCTCATCAGCAACATCAGTTTAATCAAATAAACTTTGCCGTGGTAAAACATATCCACCACATGCAGAAATATCCTAAATGCAACTATATGTAACTAAAATACCATGTCAATTGCTTTTAGACAATCAATAAGTTGAGTAAAAAGACCTAAAATATAGTCTTTTTAAGGAGTTATCAAACCCCCAAACTTAAGTTATTGCTTATCCTCAAGCAATGGATAATGAGCAATAGAAAAATGAAATACTATTGCAAAGTCTAAATCAGGACAAACAAGTGGTTTAAAATTAGCCCTCAACGACAAGTTCTTTTGTTTTGCCAAGGCATAAAATCATTCATTAAGCATAGTGTCACTCCTCTTTATTGAACACTTAATTCCAAAGTTTTTTTTTCTTTTTTTAACACTGCTACGAGGGGAGTCAGCCCATCACACCTACTATCCCACTCTAGGTGAAAGGGAACATGCCTTCCATCCTCGAGCTAGTTAGGTAGAGTCATCCCGTGACTATTTTCATTCACTCATGTGCTAAGGCTACCATTTATTCAAGGGGGTTTCCAGATAACGACATCACATAGAGGAGTGTCCCTCTACAATTATGTCGAGACATTTATTCACAAGTCACCATAATTAAAAACATTAAGGTGTTTAACTTAGCCTTTCAAACATTGATATAATAGTTTAGTTCATTACCAGAATTTTATGCCACGGCGCATAAAAACTCTTTCATAAAAATTTTCTATGTTATTTAAGCACATAAAACATATAATCGTGTTCACAAAATCACAAAGAATGAAGTCCTAGGGTTGGTTCCATCCTCCTCAATAGTCATGTACAATAATTTCTAGCCATGACAAATATTTTTTTAATATTACCAGGCATCATCAACTTATTTCAAGTAACTAACTTGATCCTAACTAATTCCATAACAAAAAAAAAAATCTAAACATTATCAATGAAAATGACTAAGTATGAACAATACCTCCCCCAAACTTGAGGGATGCATTGTTCTCAATGCATGAAAACTAAACTAAAGATTAAATGCAATACAAGGTACCTTGACTAACATCAATTTTGCTGGTGGTGGGGTTGTTTTGATCAGATTCTTCAAATGGAGAAGTCCAAACGTGATTGGTTGTCATTTTTAGGCGATGATTGTCCAGAAGTGTTGCAATTTGCCATGGCTTTTGTGCAAATAGGTGGACATCATTAACAATGTTATCGTTTGTACCAATAACAATTGAGTTTTCTTTCTAAGTAAGTGCAGCATCCATAGAGGCTTTACCCTTATCCACATATTTGGAAGTCTATTCTTCTAAAAAACTAATATTAAAAGTAAATAAAGAAATAAAGCAAAGAAAAAAAACACCAAACAACAAAATAATAATAATAATTTTTCCTTGAAAAAAAATTAAAGAGGGCTAAAAGGATGCAAACTCCAAAACATCATGAATTGATGTCAGTTTTGTCGCGTTCGATCGAAGCATCAATATAAATCAAAATGCGCCACACATATAACAATTCCACCTTCAAAATATTCTGCCCTAGTATTTTGTGTCTTGGACATCTGATTTGTAGGACCTTTGTAGTAGTCCTCTCTCCTTCAAAGTTCTCTCCATATGAAGCTGAATAGTAATGGAATAGGATCTCTTCGTTATGCTTCTTCAACCTTTGAGGGAAATATGGTGGGGTCTGACTTCATATACTGTAGGTGGGGTGAAACTTTTGTCATGGAAATTATTTTTCCTCCATCAGTAGAGAGACTTCTTGAACCATCATCCTTGTGCTTCTCCATAGACAATTATTCTTGTACAACAAGTTCATATTGGCTTTTGGATTCTTCTAGTACAGTTCTGTGGTGAAACATTTCTTACTTCACCCCCTAAACTCATCTTCTTGATTGAGCTGGGTACTACTCCTCAGAGTAAGCGCACTACATTTCTCATTTTCGTGAGGCTTTGTGAGCTCACTATCATTAGGGAGGCTTTCTTGTGGGTGAGCATGTAATGCTATAGTGATTTAGCCCACTTGTTCTCCAACGCTCTCAAAGATGACCTATGTCTTTGCAATAAGGCTTCTTGACTTTGCAACATTGTGCCTTGGCTTTAATTGTTGAAGAGTGTTCATTCAACAAAGCCTTAGTTGAGTCATAAAATCTTTTGTCGAGGCCATAAATTATTCCAGAGAAGCTTCAAAGGAGATAGATTTTGAACAAGATGCTAAAACTTTGTAAATATTTTTCCACGACATTTTTTTTGAAAACCTAGGTATTCAACCAAATTTTTTTGTCGATTTGAGTTATTGGCATTGTTGACTCCTTGATTCATCGAAAAAAATTTGTATGCTGACATTATCCAGGGTTGTAGGTACTAGAGTAGGGTTTGTTGTTTCTTATATTGAAATTGCCCATGAAATTTGTACCATGACTTCCTTCACCTCGCTGGAACGTTACAATTTTTCAACATATGTTTTATGGTAGAAAGTTGGCTAGAAACTGAATCCTTGGCATCTAGTTCAAATGTCCTATACACTTTCCTTCTGATTCCAAGCCTTGTAGACACGAATTGATAATCTTTGTTGGTTATGATATCAAGGGTATAAAAAGATTCCTCGGGTGATTTGTCAAATAGAGTACCATTCACCGAGGCATCCAACAGCATATGAATGGGTGCGTTAACTCCATTATAGAACACCATAACTTGAATCCAGTCGTGGAATCCATGATTGGTGCACTTGTAAAGCAAACTTTTGTATCAGTCCCGTCACTCAAAAATATACTATTAATCTCTTTGGCGAAACGATGTTATGGCATTCCCAAGATGGTTTATCATATTGGGTGGATTATGCCATAGCAAAAAATATTTTGCACAAGTCTACCCAGGACCTTATCAAGCCGGAAGGTACTCCATTAAGCAATGCTCTGGCGTGACCTTTCAATGAATATGGAAATAACTTCAATTTTAGCATATCTTTATGCATACCTTGTTGTGGAGACCTCTAAAAAAGCTTTAACATGTTGCCTTGCATCCTCATGATGAGCACCATCAAACTGTCCAATCAAGTCCAACATATCGAACATAACCGGTTTGAGCGCGATGTGGGCTGCCTGAATCTTGGGAGCTACAATAGCAGGTTTTAGGACCTAAGTGATCTCTAATAGTTCGTGATCTTGGAGCATTCTTTGAATTTTTATTTGTCGTGGAATTTAATTCTTCAAGGTCCTCCACTTAATTTTGAACTTCATATATAGTTCTTTGAGCTCCTTGAACACATCTTCTTTAACATAATATTTTTTTCGATCTTAGGCTCAAAATGAGATAATGGTTCATTCGGACTTCTACAAGTCATGCAACAACATAACACTTGAAAATGGTTAGCGAAAATAACGAATAAATCCATAAAGAAAAAAATAATAAAGAAACAAGATAATGCTATAATAAAACTTTTAAAAACACCAATTGCCAATCTCCGACAACGGCGCTAAAAAATTGATCGCGTGTAAAAATATAGTGCTGTGGCACGTAAACGTTTGCATGTATACAGAATCGATGCAAGTAATATAGTAGTGAGTTAGTATCGTCTCCACAGGGATTGAAGGGCTTTTAAAAGATTACTACACCTAGGAATATGTGTCACTAACTAACCCTAAGTATCTAAGTCTAATGATATAAACAAGGAAAATATGCAGTGGCAAATGGTATGAAGAAACGAAAAAAGTTTGCCGAGGAAGAAAAATGTAAAGTGAAGTAAGTAGATAAATTTTGTCGTGACAAGAAAAATATGCAGTAGTAAACAAACAAAAGTTGCTAAGGCTAAAATTTATTAAAAAAACTAGAAATAGAATGGCAACCTTACACAATTAGACTTCTAACAGAGCACATGGGTTGGATTTTCTATGGCAAGAAATTATTCTATGGCTAGGATGATCTAAGTGCACTATGCCTATGTTACCCGACAGGATTTACTAAAGTGTTCCAAGAGTATCTCTGGCACGAAACTTGACAAACTATTGCTAGGTAATACTACTCAGCGTGAACTACAACCCTTGGTTTGTCAAACTATTGCTACGGAGATATCCCTAAGCGTAAACAGTAATGCTAGCCAATCTACTAAAGCATTTATCCTTCTTAGTCGTATGAAATCATGTCCTTATCTCTAAGGCGGATTAGAAAATCACCATCCCATATTATTTCCCTTATTCACGTAGATCTAATTTAGCACTCTTGATATTAGGTATCAACTCCTAGAAAAATGTCTATCTTTCAAAAGATCTTACAAAGACTAGGAATATTTTACCAAGTCACCAGACAATCTTTCAAAAGCTCTTACAGTATCAAGGCAAAAGATTAAAATAGCGAACAAAAAAAAAATTAACAAAAACATACTTAATCATTCATTAACCATAAAATAAATATCATTCAAGCATTTCCATCACCAAATAAAACAATTTATGGTGTGGCTAACATCATCCAAAAAATATTTATTAAGTACAAGCCCTTAAAATATAAGAAATGAAGAACAAGAGGTAGAAAAACTCCTAGAACAGAGCTCTGTTGTGACATCAAACCACAACCATGACTGCTCTAATGAGCTAGCCTCTCTCGAGGGCCTAGCTGGTGCTCCGACGAAGCCTGACTATGGAGGTCACCAAGGACAGATGAGTGGGGGAAAGGTGGAAAAGAGGTGCTGCAGCCGTCTTTCTCCATTCTTTTCTTTTAGGGCATATGGTATAGAGTGTCTCAAAGGAGGGCATCATGTCCTATTTATGGTGTGGAATTTTTAAGGTTTAGTGCCCTTGATATTCCCCAAATTACCCTTGAATTCATGCCCAATTCATGAAAATAAAATAGCGTAGTGGTCCCAAATTAGCAGCAGAGGCAGAGGTTCATATGAGGTGCATTGGATAGCTTGCTACGCGATGTCAACAATTTTACCTCGTACTGTGTCAAGCTTGCAAGATACAACTTGACACGGAAAAAACTATTCCTCGGTCGTTTCCTATGACATGTATCATCATTGCCAACACACAACCCTTCTCATCAGCAGCATCAGTTTAGTCAAATAAACTTTGTTGAGACAAAACTTATCGACTACATGCAACAATGTCCTAAATGCAACTATATGCAACTAAAATTCTATGTCAATGGCTTTTAGGCAATCAAAAACTTGAGTAAAAAGACCTAAAATATAGTCTTTTTACGGAGTTATCAGATGATAACCTTTGTCGGAAGTATGTCTAGCTGTCATGCTTCAAGTATTTGAATCTAGTCACAAGAAAATGAGTGGATAAGAATATCGTCAACAGAGATAAAAATGTACTTACATATGGAGTATTTTAATTCGTGTGTCATCAGTGATATAGTACAATGACTAAGGCTTTCCCGAGAGTAGCCTTTTTATAGAAAATCTAATTCTTTTGGTTCTTCGAAACTTTTTGTTCGACTAGGTATGTTAGAAAATTGAATTAGATCAGTTTGATGTTGTTTCCCTCTTTATGGAGGAAATCTTTCAGGTGTATCACCTAACACTTCTCGAAAATCCTGTAAGAGAGAAATAAACATACTAGACAAATCCATTTTAATGTTAGAAATCGAAAAAAATTATTCCTGAAAGTGAACAAGGATGCAAGGCTTTCCGTGAAGAAGGCTTTCTTTCAATTCTTTTTTTTTCTCAAATCTATGTTTTGATTCAATCTTTTCTTCTCACGAATAGGTTCACTCACTTCCCGTGGGTCATGTTCCTGGCTTTTATGGGTTGTGACCTCTTTTGTTTTTGTTTTTTTAGTTTCCTTTTCTTTTTACGTTTTCCCACCCTTCTCACAAAGTTTTGTCGTATGACTTTCAAGTTAATCTTTTGAATCCAATGGTGTAAGGAGAAGTAACTGAAGATAAATATCTTCTATTGCAAGGCTACTACCCTCGTATTCATCATTGTCATCGTCTGATTCATTATCCACGATAGGAAGTGGAGTAGAAGATGAAGTAGAAGTAGGTAATGTACCTTGACAAATGTCTTTGAGATGGTTTTTCTGTTGTTTTTCGATTGTGAGGGCCTTTTGTAGTAAACCCTAAAGATATTCAAAGTCTTATTTCAGCAAGTTAATCACGAATGTCTCGATTGAGACCTTCCAAAAATTGGTAACAGTGGTAATCTTCATTAGGAATTCTTGATCTTCAAATTAAAGGCTCCATCTCTTTATAATAATCTTACACGGATCTTTTATCTTGTCGTAGTCTTTGACATTTTGGTAGATTTTCATTGGTGTAAGAATCTGGAACAAACAGTTATTGTATCTTAAATATGAGATCATCCCACGTTTTGACATGATTGATTCCACATATAAATAATATACTCCAAGATCGTGCCTTGTCACGGAGTGCACATATAATCAAAAATAGTTTTCTTTTTCTGAGCAATTGTAGTCATGGAATATGAATTCCATCTTGGTTTCCCACTCATAGTAGGTGTGTGGGTCATCCAAGCCATAGAATTTTGGAATGCTTGATCTCGGTACCTTAGGATCAAAGATCCTAAAAATCACAACACTCAAAGCAACATGTAAAGTGGAAAAGAAAAGAAAACAAGAAAAAACCTCACAAGTCACTCCAAGGAAGCAACAAAACGAGAGGCAAGAAAGTCGATCTTTTACACTTTAAAACTTTCCTCTCCAAGAGTCTTTCGATATTCGTATCGGAGTTTGATCACTAACAACAAAAGATGAGAAAACTTAGGAGTTCTAATATGCAAAATAAAGGTAGGGCTCCAAGTGAACGAG